CATTTCAGAGAAAGAGAGAGAGTGAGAGATATATAGGAGGTGCGTGAGTGCTTGCCTGCGCTAAAAAATTTACCCATTCAATTAAAAAACTTCAGTCATTAAATTGGTAAATAGACATAATCAGTGTATTTAGTTATTTTAACTTTACTTTCATGGGGTGTGCGATAGACTTACTCCACGTGGTGCATCATAGGCAACGTATACTCATACGGCAAAAAAGTCTATTAACGGGCAGTTGACTTCTCACTTCAAACTACCATCACCCCACCGTATGCCATATTCGACCCCTTTCACAGTACTCACTTTACCTTTTTCTCTACCTTTGTGTCTGTCTGTCTCTTATGCATCTGTGAATCGCTCTTCTGTGCCCCACCCCTCGACTTTCTGCTACTTTGGTGAACCTTCCCTCTGTGAAGCCCGAAGTCAGCCAAATGGCTAATGATAGCTATCAAAACGCCTGCCATTTGAAATAATAAATAAGTTAATTTAAGTTTTACTTCCATTTGATTTGTTTCTTTTTTGTTCACTTATCCGTGTTATTGTGACGGAAGCATATCTTTATTAGTATTTGAAAACTCTTTAATTAATTTTTTTTGGTTTTCAAAATCAAACATTTACCTTCTCCTAACTGAGATGTCACAAGCTATGATGAATTACTCTACTAATGCATACTTGCCGAAAGTTTTGAATTTGTTATTAGCTACGAGATCGTAAAATGCAAACAGAACAAAATCTTTGTTTATAAAAACTGAGATCTCGTGCAATTTTCATTCAATTAATTTCAAAACTACTTTCTCAAAGGACTTAGCTGGAGTCATTTTTTTTCTTCCATTTAAAGACCGAATTTCGGAATTTCCAATACGGAAATGTATGCATATCCTAAATAGTATCACTAATGTGACTTTTTATTCAAATTGACTCTGTATGTGTACTTTCGGTGAATAGGGGAATTATTATCCGTTAATTTGATTGAAAAGCCTACTTTTGAAAATAAAGAAATCCAATACATTGTCCGTCTAGGAGAAATTCTCAGTTCTTTATATTTTTCATTGCAATGAAAATATTATTGGAAAAATCAGACCAGTAATTAATAATGCGAATGCTGAATTTTCCTCCCCATTTCCTGTTTAACCTTTATCCCTGTGAAGCTCATCAGGTCAGTAGGTAAGAGTTTAAGTCCTATATTGCAAATGACTTACGCTCACATAAAGTAGAGAAGGCCAAGATCAACTGAAGAGAAGTAACAATGATCAAAGCGCTCAATCTTTGGTTCTCTCCCTCCAACAATCCCCCCCCCCCACCGCCTTCCTAAATAGACCAGTATTGCCCATTTTATGTAATCAAGCAAGGCTCACTTCAAATAGCACTCTTCATTGATTATTTTCCTTATGGGATATTTTATCGTGGTATGACCCGTCGTGTGTTAGTATTATCAATCTTTGATGCAAATCGTGATGAAAAATTAGGGATTTTCTCCGCCGCGCTACTAAAAATAATAAATTTCAAGCTTTAATTATGAATTGAAATGCAGGCGTTTAAAAAATAAAATTGCTGAATTTTCGGTACTAGGCTATTATATTAGAGACAAGTGGATCGCTTTCTGTCGGTTCTTTTGAGATTCATACACACACATTTTATGTAATCAAGTAAGGCTCAAATCAAGAAGGACAAAAAGTGGAAAGTATAAGGTCACCTAAAAGAGAGACTAGTGCAAAGATTGTAAGCTAAGCCAATCTAGAGCATTTCAACTTCAGAACTTTCCCTTTAATCGCATTTATATAATTATAGGAGATTTGGCTATTCCATAGTTCAGTTAACAAAACAAGAGCAAGTATAAATAAATTCACTTGGTAAAACATTTTTTTCATGAATTAAGCTTCAAGTAAAGTTATAAAAGTGGTGAATGGTGAAGTTGCGAGGAGGGGAAGACGATGATGGGGTGGGGGCTGTAGAGAGTGACCGGTTGAGACCAACAAACACCTCACAAAATGCATTTTAGGTAATAATAATGCCATTATTGTTTAGGAGGAAGAGGAGTAGAATGAAAGGGAAGGCTGGGAGAGTCATTACAGAAGAGATCTTGATAAAATTTGCGTTTCAGCAAATCCAAAGCATTACACCATCATTGACAGCGTTGGCTGTGTCTCTTTTTCTGCTTGTCGTAATGATGGAGGCTTGTGATTGAGTTATTTTATACAGTTTATGAATACCCTGTATGCAAGTGCGTGAGTTTGATTGTATGTGTATACGCGATAGATGAGTAGGTCATCCATATAGCAAATGACCTCTTACCAGAAAAGCGAAATCTAGAAGTAGAGAGCGCATTCAATCGGCTATTCGCTCTAGATACCCTGGACCGATTTTGCTGAAATATGATGAGAGCAGAAGAAGGAATAAGGGAGTTGGAAAAGGAAACACTCTTTCTCTAAGTCTGATTCTTTTAAATATGAAGCATCTGTACAGGGGATGAGGGGGGGGGGCGGGAAGAAGGAGGATCATCATATGAGAGAGAGGAAGGGCGCTAAAAGGAACAGAAGTCTTAACTACGCTTGAAAATCATGGTACCCAGAAGGCATGTACACCATTCCGCCTCCGTTCATATGTCCGGTATTGTAGGGATCGTAAGCACTGTGAGGAGGTGCTGGTTGAGAAACTGGATGACCGTGGTGATGATGTCCATTGGGTTTGAGAAGGGGATAACCAGAACCATCAGGAGGTAGCACTTGGACCATAGTGTTGGCTAACAGCATCGATCCAGGAGTACCCGCCGATGTCCCACTAAGGGAATGAGACCCTGTTGATGAAGAGTAGGCAATATGATTGCCATTACTGTTCATGGTGTGGTTATTGTTTTTCACCGGAGGCGCGGTAACAGCCGACGAGGGTGGACCCTGAGGAGATTGATGCGTCATATGATGATCCATTAGACCCATGGCATTGGTCTTTCCAGCAAGGTCTGTACCATTTAGACCACCACGATACATCCCCATGGAGTTATTGCTGTTTCCCATCTGACGCATTACTGGTAAGGTGGCCCTTGTATGGTTCCCATTCATTTGTGAACAGCGTCTGCTTTTGCGATTAATCAAACAATAGCTGATTATGAAGATGCATACAAAGAAGATCACCACTGGTGCTGCAATGTAAAGGGCCAGACGCCGAGAATAACTGTTCTCTTCCGTTTCTGGCAATGGTTCGGTTTGAGCATCTGAAATGTGAAGGATAGCCAAAAGAATTGATTTTAAAACTGGATAATTAACTGTGAACACTAGTTGCCTCATCAGAGGGAGGGGCAGGGAGGTACTTCGTAACTTGAAAATTCAAAGTTGGTCCGCTGGTGTTCTGTTGCAACGTACTGAATTGGATGACAAACCAGAGGAAAACACAGACAGTTGCACTATTTCAAAGACAAGTCAAGCACGTTTAAAACACAAAAGCAATCTATTGAATTTATCACGAAGAGGAGCACAATAGCTGGAAGCGGTGTTATTCGTTCTCAAATAGATAACGGAACGAAATCATATAGATTATAATGTAAAATCTTGAAAATTATTTATATATACTCTAAAAAGTTCCATTAATCGATATTTTTAGAACAGAAATGTAATGTCTATTTTCTTAAAATGTTATACTGAAATTGGAATTAAATTCATGAAATGGTTTAATATTATATGATGAACAAGCTGAAGGAGAAAACATATTCAAGAAAGGGAAGATAAAGTGGGCTGTTCCCTTTAAAATGGCGGGGTTAAAAGTGAAAGGGGTCGAATTTAACCAGGTTTGGGAAAATAAACAAAATACTAACTAGCCCACATTTTACACCGAAAAATTAGGTAAGTAGTAGAGGAAATTGCCTTTAAGGGGAAAGCTGCATATAAAGGAAAACCGTTCACCTTACGAGGGTGAAAGATAGGTTGCGTATCCACTAATCTGGGAAAGCCACGCAGCTATAATTCAATGTAATTACCTGTACACTGGTGTCTATACGGCAGATGTGCTATTAAAAGGAAAATATGTATCCTAGAGTCAGAATGCTAATTGTAATAATTGTATCGTTTCGCCTCCTTTCAAATTAGCGCATTCTATTGAAATACTAATTTAAACAAATGGAGAATTACAATTCTGGATGCAAGAGCGGCTCCTAAAAAATGCTCTATTTTCTGACTACTGCAAAGAAAAATGCAAATTTGTCAAAAAACGTAAATTCAGTAAGAAGTTTATCAAGATAAAGCTTATAAAACAACTTGAACCTAATACTGCGATTCTCATTCAATTTAAAATTGAATACAGTTTAGAGCTGGATAATTGGTATGACTTGGCATTTTAAAGGAAAAAGTTGTCTGTGCAAGTTGGCAGAAAGGCTATTCTTTATCGCGGTAACAAAATGAAAACCCAGTTCGATTAAAATGGGCATGTTTAGCGGGTGTGTCGGAAATGAAGGACTATTCACTTTAAATTATCTGTTTCAAGAATACCTCTAATTTGTATCGACGTGCCACAATAGTCAGTGAGTCAAAGTAACTCTTACCAGAAACAACAACTCGAACGAGTTTTCGGTCGTCCCAGCCAGATTCCGTGATGACAGAGCAGATATACATGCCAGCATCTCGACCTGTGACACGCTGAATGACTAGCTGGCTCTCTGGTGACCCGGGGTCACTCACAGCAAAGGGAGCACTGACTGCTGGTGCACTGGAGGTCAATTTGTTGCTTGCTTCACTTGTGGGCATCAAAGGAAAGACAATAAAAGCGATATTGGAGAGACGAATGATCTCTTTACCATCGCCCTCATATGCTGGAACAGTTTTAGTTGGGTCGATTATTTTGCCCCACTGCAAGGGAAAAGGAGCGTGGAAAGAGAAAAATTAGTGTAGAACATCATATACATATTTAAGGCTGGCAACAGGTTGTAAGGATAAGAGGTTAAGGTTAGAACCACGTCATACTGCGCTGACCCTACTAATCCCAAATGCATTTGGTAAAGGGCGTCCACGTTGCACAATTTTAATCCCCTTAAATTAAAGCTCCCGAAAAAAACACCGTAGAGATGCTAGACAGGGACTGTTTACTTATCGTAAAAGTGGAATGATATTAATCATTGAAAGTGATAAAAAATTGACACTTTGAGAGCATTTGTTATTGAAACTATGCAGACGCAATTCTCTTTTCCTCTTTAATTCCACATTTAACGATGAAATTGCGTCTACCTTTATAACCCATGGGAGATTATCGATTCCTCGGCTAATTCCCACATTACCTTTCTGCTAGTAAAGGTAGCAGGTAGATATGAATGGAAATATATGAAAAAGAGTGATCCTATTATTAATTATTAAAACTGAAATTTGCTGTTGCGTTCACGTTTCCGCTAAGATAGATCTCGTATCTTAATGAAGAGTTGTTTAAATTTTAAAATTTTTATTCCCGGGCAAGTTAGCCAAACCAGTTCGTGGAAAATAGATAAATAATAAAGGTAAATATACCTCCATTTCAGGTGAAATTTTATACAAATTTTAGTTTATTTAGCTGAACTTACCCGAATAGTGACTGATCTATGCTGTTCGGCATTGACTTTACAAGATTGGATAAGATTTTCACCAGATTTGACGTGTACGGTGATATCATGATCACCGATAATGATAGCGCCTTCCGACCGAGCTATATGAGGAAAAAAATATGCGTATAATAACAAGCAGCGCTCTTAATCCCTCTAAGCCTCTCTACCACCATTCGTTTGTCAAATCAGTGCATACTAAGTGGAGCTAAGAACAAACCTGCTCTGTCCGTATATTTCATTTCACTCACTTATGATATCGTACTTTTTTGATCATTTCATGAAGAGCATAGTCAAAATGTTAGGCAGGGTAAAACACGCCTTTCATCTCACTCTCCCCTCTTCACAGAAAGCCCTGATTTGATATCAAGCACAAATCGATCAACTCGCGAAGTCTTGTGGACAAATACTTGGAAGAAATAACCGAAAAGCTTCAGGTAATTAAAGGAAATTTGCAGTTAAGTAAAATAGGGAATAAATCGGACTGCTAGTGGAAATTGTTAGGAATGTGTGCATACGTATGTCATTTTTTATTTATCTTTCGTTCTCCTTTTCCCTAAATACAATAACGAGGTTAGAAAGGGGGGGGGGAG